TCTCTCTCTCTCTCTCTCTCTCTCTCTCTCTCTCTCTCTCTCCTCTTACTCTATGGGTGCCTGCCACCACTCAGCACCCAAACAAATACATGGAGATTTATACTTACTTATAAAAGCCCAACCTTTGTTTGACTTATTTCTAACCAACTTTTCTTAAACTATCTTGTCTACCTTTTGCTTCTGAGCATTTACCTTTCTCTTTTGTGTGTTCTTTTCTTTCCTTCTGACTCCCTCATTGGCTATGTGGCTGACCCCTGACATTCCCCTCCTTTTTCTGCTTCTCCCTCTTCTGTTCTCTTCCTCCTATTTATTCTCTCTACCTGGCAGCTCCATCTATGCCTCTCCTGCCTAGCTATTGGCTGTTCAGCCTCTTTATTAGGTGAATCAGGTATTTTAGACAGGAAAAGTAACACTTGACAGAGTTTAACAAATGTAACATAAAGAATGAAATACATCTTTGCATTATTTAAAAAATATTCCACAGAATAAAAGAATGTAGCACATCTTTAACTAATATTCCAAAACATTAGTTCAGAATGATGATCTAGCTCAGGAACCTTCTATGTTGTCCTATTGGTAATAAGCAACATTTATCCAGGAAATATATATGAGAGTGATTCTCAATATTTTACACACATCATTGCAAGCAAAGGTTCTGTGGCTTGTAATTCCTTAGGTAACATCCTATCATACCATGAGGAGTAAAGTAATCATCTGGGTATGAGAGCTTCACCAACCTGAACAACCCCGGCCCTTCCTTTGCACAAACCAAGCATTCCCAGACAGCAGCACTCTCAGAGTCACGTGATCCCAGTGAGTCACATCACTCTTCCCAAGCTGACTGGCTTTGTAATTCCCGCCATGCCTAGGGAAAGAAAGCACAGAGCTAGGAATGGCTCTAGGTGTCGCTGTTGGTCTTCGCTTCAGTGAACCCAGGCAGTTGAAGCCAGCAAAGAGAAGGGCACACAGGACAGTCCAGGACAGATGTGCACAGCTTCCAATTGTCCTCTTCCAGTGGAGTCCAAAGGACAGTGATTAACTATCTGTTGACATGTGAACAGAGAATAGTGAAACTGGGAACATTGCTGGCCAATGACAGCCAGGGACTCAGTTCCACCTTCCTGTTGTAGACAGGACACATCTTTGCAGCTGACATGGATTCCAAGACCCCAGTCCCCAGAAGTCACGCTGATCTTACAGGGCACAAGTGTTCACGTGGCTGAGGGGCCATGGACTGAGGATGAAGGGAAGCAAACAGTGCTAGCAGGCAGATGTTACCAGAGCATCCAGGTCATCTCCCATGAGCTGGTGACAGACCAGGAACCTGTACAACATACAGTGTGTGACACCCCTCACCTGCTGTGTGTACTTATTTCTCAGGGCCTACTTAGCCAGAGGTAGGAAATCTTGGCCTGAATTGGCCCCTTGTGCGAGTCGATCAGTACCGTTGCTTCTCTTTCATAATGTGGGAGGTGACCCAGAGATACAGACTGCTAAGGGGCGAAATGTCCTGGTGTTAACCCCCAGGGTTAACTGTCAGGTGTCAGGTTACTCCATAGGTACCCTGGGAGTACGCTATGTCAGCCGAGGAGAAAACTATCTGTCAAACCTTCTCAGTGACTAAGTCTCAATACTCCTATCTCACACCCTGACAAGCTTGTGTTGGCTCCTGTTCTGCGCAGAGCTTCCTATCACGCCAAGGTGGAGCTAGAGGAAGCTGTTGACCACTCACCAATCCAGAGTGCCACCTGACCATAAGACTTTTGGGCAGGGACAAGAGGAATAAGGCAGAGGCTGGGAGATTCAGACCAGCAATAACCATGGAGTTTTTAGAAGTGGGTAGAAGGGGGATGGCAGGGGAACTCGGAGGAAGAGACCCAGGCCTTGCTGAGGAGCTGTGTGCTGTGCACTCGGCTCATCTCCTCTAACTCAGTTCCTGCTTCCCTCCTGCCACACTGGAGGGTAACGGTTGTTCTCACAGCTTTCTCACTTCCCATGGACTGAGTGCCCGCTTCTGAGTCTGACCTTCCTATTAATTCATTATCTTCAGACATGTCTGCAAGACGCCACAGGCTGTAGACACCTTCCCACTGCCCCTCACTAATGACAGAACCAATCGGATGCATTTACTCTTCCAGCAGGTGGTGTGTCCTGATAACTAGGTGATCCTTGAGCCTCTATGGTGATCTTTCCCAAGTCTCTGGCAATGTTCACAAGTCCCTCAAAACTCTGCCTGTGTAGCATGAGGGAGACACCTTATCCATCCCTATTATGATAACTGGAGGCACAGGGGTCCATCCACCAAAGAGCAAAGCGTGTATAAAATTAGACAGTGGCCCCCATGTGACAAGCACTTGACAACCTGCTGGCCTCCCCAGGATTCTCTTGACAGTGTGACAGGTTTTCAGCTTTCTCAGACCAGAGCTACAAGTTCCCAGATTGTCAGGTTGTCCTTCCTTGTGATTTGAGTGATGTCACGCCTGTACTCATGGCTCCCCGGGCTGGAGCTGCCTTCCCCACACTCACTCACCCTCACTGGATACCCACACAAGCCACCTCAGTAGCCTTTCCTATACAGTGACAGTGCCTGCAGAGTCAGTCACACCTCATACCCAACTAGTCAAGTGCTCAGCGGAGCCTCGCAAAGATCTCCATCCATTCTGGGACACTGTCCTCAGGCCCCTCAGATTTCTGCCTGTGTGGCACATGGCAGACTGACTTCGCTATACCTTGTGATCCTGCATCTTGAGGTAGAGTTCACTGGTCATCTGCCCACTGTGCTCACAGTACCCAGCCCTACATAACCACTGTGTACTTCTCCCTGAGGGGAAACTGATGCTGCCCCCATGGATAAACATGCGTGGAGAGAAGAGAGGGCATGAATCTCTGAGTCTGACTTGCCCTGGACTTTGCTGACCTCTTGCTACACAACCTGACTGAACAGTAAACACAGCTACTTGGCTCAAGACAGAGAACAAAGTGCAGCCTTCTCCCCTTCATAAGGGACCAGGTGCCCAGTCTGTCCTCAGAGTGTCTTTCCTCATCCTAGGTGTCTTACCTGATTCCCAGCCTGGGAAGCAGGGGCGGCCATGGCACTGCTGATTGGAGATGGCCTGTGGTCCGTGGTCCTATTCACAGCCGTCTTCCTGCTCCTGGTGGACCTGATGCACCGACGCAAGTTCTGGACTGCCCGCTACCCTCCAGGTCCTGTGCCCCTTCCTGGGCTGGGCAACCTCCTGCAGGTGGACTTCGAGAACATGCCGTATAGTTTACACAAGGTGAGGGAGATGGCAGTGGAGGGCAGTAGAGGTCATGGTGCCCCCAGCAGTACATGGTGGTGCTGAAGCCACAGGATAGACAGGAAGATGGCCTCTATAAGAAAGAAGGCTTAGTGGTTGCCTTGTGGGACTTGTTTCATGTTTTAGGTCTCTGTGGACTTTCTAATAGCAGGGGCACAGTATGGAAAAGGTCATGAGGCAGACAGGGAGTGTAGTTGGATCGGACAGAAATCTGGGAGACCCCATATCCCTTGTGATCCCATCAGTGGTTGAGGTCTCAGGGACAGAGGGAAGGATCAGGATTCATTGTAGCATGTCAGTCAGGATGGGCTTCGTCTGCTATAATCTCTTGCTGCTGTGTGGTCTCAGGCCTTGCTGCCCATCTCACGAACCTGAATTTCCTCTTGTATGGGTAGGTATGAAGGTGGCAAGGCCATTGCTCTGGAAATGTCACCACTAAATGACCGTATCTACTGTGAGACCTGTCTGGGTTTAGAAGACTGGCTACCCCAGTGACAAGGTGTTAAATTTCAGGCTAGAGATGCAGGTCAGTGATAGAGCATTTGCCCAGCACAGGGATGGGCCAATGTTCAACAATGAATGCCATACAAAGAAACGCAAGTTCATGTGTGTGAAATTTATGTTCATGTCTGCATGTACACACTCACACAGACATGTGATAAACTTGGACTTTTCAGTATGCTGGGACCTGCACTTACTAAGCGTTCTGTCCCTCTACTCCAGCTTCGACAGCGCTATGGTGACGTGTTCAGCCTCCAGATGGCCTGGAAGCCCGTGGTCGTGATCAATGGACTGAAGGCGGTGCGGGAAGTGCTGGTGACCTGTGGAGAGGACACTTCTGATCGCCCTCCAGTGCCCATCTTTAATCACCTGGGCTATGGTCCCAAAGCAAAAGGCAAAGAGCTATAGTGGGGACAAGGAAGAGAATAGGGCTTGAGGGGCAGTGAAGAGGAGATGGGGCCTAATAAAGGGGCTGTGCTCAGCTAATGCAAGGAAATCTCTGCTGTGGAGGGTGGAGCATCCAAAGTGGTCTGTGCTGATTGTGATAGCAAAGTGCTGGGGCGCTGATGGCTCAGACTGACCACAGGGAAATGTTGGGAGCAGAGCAGACAGCACAGCCACGTATCCTTGGTTACACACAGATGTCCCTGCAGGAGTGGTATTTGCACCTTATGGTCATGAATGGCGAGAACAGCGGCGATTCTCTGTGTCCACCATGCGAGACTTCGGCCTGGGCAAGAAATCCCTGGAGCAGTGGGTGACGGAGGAGGCTGGACACCTCTGTGACGCCTTCACCAAACAGGCTGGTGGGTGATGGGAATATGGTAGCCATATGGGCATGCACAGATGAACAACATCATGACTTGTTTGCATCTCTGCTCCTAGGACAACCATTTAATCCCACCACCCTCCTAAACAAAAGTGTATGCAATGTGATTTCATCCCTTATTTATGCCCAGCGCTTTGAGTATGAAGACCCTTTCTTCAACAGGCTGCTCAAAACCTTACAGGAAAGTTTTGGAGAGGACACTAGCTTCATTGCAGAGGTATGAGACTCAGGACCCTGAGCATTACATCCTACGCTGTAAATCCTATCAGAATGAATATTCATTCAGGGTTGATAGGGTGAGGTTGTTTTGTAACAGTTGAATGCAGGAGGAAAGGCCTTGACCTTGGAAAACCTTAGATAACTGGGAGAGAGGAGCAAACCAAGATCACAAGCTATAAAAAAGAGGGTGAGCCTCTGCCCCTGTCTAATGGAAACCACACAAGACTCTTAGATTTGCAGGGTAGAGTAGTCATTTTGCTCACCCTGGACTACAAGGCAGCCTGAAGGAAGATCCTGAGAAAACAGCAGGTGGTGGGTGAGAACAAACATTTCCTGAGTCATTTGTGGAAGAGGCTGGGACCCGAGAACACCTAGCAGAAACAGGATCCAGAGGCAGAGAGATAGATAAGGAAGGTCACCTAGCAAACGTGGAGATCTGAACTGGAAGCCTGTAAACTATATGGGAGATAGATCTGACTCTACACATTGTTTTTTGGCCACCAAACAGGTACCACTGTGCATGTGTGAGAGTACGCATGCAGGCATACATACACACACACACACACACACACACACACACACACACACACACACACTAATTATTCTTAATTAGGAATAAAAACAAGTAGACCTGCTCTCTTTCTTCCACAGGTGCTGAACGCAGTCCCGGTGCTCCTTCGTATTCCTGGGCTGCCTGGCAAAGTCTTCCCCAAGACGACAGAGTTCATGGACTCACTAGATAAGATGTTGATTGAGCACAAGAAAACCTGGGACCCTGCCCAGCCACCCCAAGACCTGACACATGCCTTCCTGGCTGAGATGGAGAAGGTGAGGACAGCAATAAAGATGGGGACAGGGCCTATGGGCTGAAGTGTTCTGTGAGTTGTGATGCCAGGAAAGTTAAGTTTGTATGTTATCCATGAACTCAACATCTGGGGTGCACGAACACAATGGTGGATCATTTTGGGGTTTACTCCTTCTGTCCCTGAGCCTACCTTCTCTGTCTGCCCAGGCCAAGGGGAATCCTGAGAGCAGCTTCAACAATGGAAACCTGCGCACAGTAGTAAATGACCTGTTCATTGCAGGGATGGTGACCACCTCAACCACACTGTCCTGGGCCCTGCTGCTCATGATCCTACACCCGGATGTGCAGTGTAAGCCTGGCTGAGCCTGAGAGGGAGTGTGAGGGAAGAAAGATAGAAGTATTTGAGAAGGATCTGGGGTCTCCAGAATCACCTTGACCCAGACTCTCACAATTCTTATGGGAGTCTTAAATCACCTACTCACCCAGTTGCAGAAGGTCAAGTTAGAGCCACTAAGGGACTGCTTCACTAAGGGAAGGCTGTTCCTCCAGGGCGCGTCCAACAAGAGATTGAAGAAGTCATAGGGCAGGTTCGGCGTCCAGATATGGCTGACCAGGCCCGCATGCCCTACACCAATGCTGTCGTTCATGAAATTCAGCGATTTGCTGACATCGTCCCAGTGAATATACCACACATGACATCCCGTGACATTGAAGTACAGGGCTTCCTCATCCCCAAGGTAGGCATGGTCACTTATGTCCCAGGGTCACCACTGGGCAAACAGAGGCTATAAAGACCAAGACCTCCACATCCTGGACTTGCAGATGGTGAAGGGCCCAGCCTGTGTGTGAGTACACTGCAGCCATTGCCCAGGGCTCCCCAGGGAAGAGGATGGCTAGTGGAATAAGCCACAGGATTGCAGGGATCCTCTGCAATTTGGTACTCTGATTTGGGTACTTAGGGTAGCTTTGTCGTATGGCCTTGAATGGTACCAGAAAATGGTACCAAGGGGATCTGAGGTTGAGGTGAATGAAAGAACCCTGTGTTGCAGGAAGAGGTTGTGCATGTGACCATGGTAACCAGGGTACTGGCAGCCCCACCACAGTCCATGTTCACACCATATGCCTCCTGCCAGGGAACGACCCTCCTCACCAACCTGTCCTCAGTGCTGAAGGATGAGACTGTCTGGGAGAAGCCCCTCCGCTTCCATCCTGAGCACTTCCTGGATGCCCAGGGCCACTTTGTGAAGCATGAGGCCTTCATGCCATTCTCAGCAGGTCCTGTGGGGTGCTTGGCTCCATGTCTTTCCCCAGGGTGCCTTGGAGGGCAGAGCATCCATCAGGTTCCAGACTGACTGAGCCCCTTTCCCACCCACAGGCCGCCGAGCTTGCCTGGGTGAACCCCTGGCCCGCATGGAGCTCTTCCTCTTCTTCACCTGTCTCCTGCAGCGCTTTAGCTTCTCGGTGCCCAGTGGACAGCCCCGGCCCACCGACCATGGCATCTTCACATTGCCAGTTACCCCAACCCCTTATGAGCTCTGTGCAGTTGTGCGCTAGCAAGGACAGCAGCTCCATCCTTCCCTCCAGCTTGTGCTGATTGATGTCCAATAAACCCGGTCTGTGACTGCCACTCAGATTGCAGGCTCTACCTTCATCCTTGTCTCCACAGTGTCTTAAGACAACAGGCTACAGTCTTTCCCCTCTGTCCCAGACCTCCTCTATGAACAACTTTAATGTTGTAAGAAGAGTTTACTGAGCCAACAGCAGTGGCACAGGCCTTCAGTACAGCACAAAGGAGCCTGAGGCACGAAAATTGCAAGTTCAAGGCCAGCCTGGGCTATATGGCCTTATTACTCATTGGGATCCTTTCTCAAACAAAGGACTTAGGTGGAGCAGGTCAGGAGGTGATGCAGAGATGGTGGGGGTAATGAAAGGGAGAATGAGAGGGGAAAGCATTGGGGGAAGAGAGGTCATTGTGCTGATGTTCATTGATTGACGCAAGATCACATGAAAATACCCATCGACGGCCGCTGGGCTGGTGACAGGCATGGCAGAAGTCAGTGCTCCGTGCTCTTGTGAGGAAACGTGAATTGTTTGTGCTGGGAATCAGAACGATTCTTGCTTTGGTGACAGATGTTTGTAGATGTCCCCAAGATCCCTGAAGTGCCACAAATGGTCTCCCACTGCTAGAAAAGCTGCTGTCCTCACAGCTCACCTTGCTGCAGTGAAGGGATGCAGGAGAACATCTGCTGTAGGAAAGGTGTCAGAATCCAGGAGGATGGGCGGGATCCTGCTGTACTGTCTGGGGCCATCTCTCCTGACCGGGGAGAGTGTTACTGTCCAGCACGTGGGACAGATATAATGAGTTATGCTCACTAGGAAAGCTCATGAATCTTGGAGTCTTGAAAATTTGGAGGTTTGATGGAGCCAGGGGGAACATGGAGACATGCAGCATCACCCTCAAGGATCACCTTGATGTCCATATAGTCTGAGGCCAGACAGCAGCATCCCAAGCCCCCATCCTCTATGGCATGCCTGGAGACAGTGTGTGATACACTGTTTTTGTTTTTATAAAAAGGAAAATGTCTTCCCACTGACTCTTTGTCATGGAATGTTAGGGAAGTCCCCACCGCCCATCAGAAGTCAGACAATGGCTTTTGTCATATTCAGGACCAGACACTCACCAAGCTGGGGTAACTTTACTTCACAGTCCCACCTCCTTGCTTGTAAGGAGCCACCAGGATGTCGCCTTGGTGAGATAGTGCCAGCGGTCCTACAGCCTGGAGGTATACAAATCCTTTGATGCTGCCTGCAGGCCAGTGTACTTGGGGCCTTGTTTTGCATTTCAGAGACTTGGTTCCCTGACCTGTCCTGTGGCCTTGGGGCCTAGCAGAATGGCATCAACCAATCAGCATTCGAATCTCTCACCCTAGAAAAGCAGCTGCCTTTGGGTTTTTCGCTCTCTCTCGTCATCCCTGTTCCCCATTCCCCTTTTTAATCAAGTGGCTCCAATAAATTGTGATTGAGGAGGATTCTTGATTTTGTGATCGTTCCTTCTTGCTGGACAAGAAGTGCGTGTCGCACTTGCTGCCTACAGGAATAGCCACATCGTTTGCCAACATCTCCTCTTTATCTGTCTTTTCTCCCTCTTTATTGTATGTGCACAGATATTTGCCTTCATGTGTGCAGTGCCGGGGAGGACAGGAGAGAGCATGGGATCTCCAGGGACTAGAGTCACAGTTAGTTGTAAACCTCCAGTGGGCGCTGGGAATCAATCCTGGGTCCTCAGGCAGAGAAGTCAGTGTGCTTCACTGTGGAGCAATCTCGACAGCCTTCTCTCACCCTTTGAATCATGATGGAAGAAGGCCTTACTCTAGTCTGAGGCGATATCCTATAGTTCTCTAAGCTCTGCTTGTGTGGCATGTCAGACGAGTGACTTTTCTATGTCCCTGGGAGCAGGGGTTCACTGGACACTTGTGCCTCATGCTCACAGTCCTCAGCCTAACAGGACCAGCACGCACAGCTGCCATGGAGTCTGCTCCTGCCTCCTGATGCCCTCCAGAGAGTAAGCACCTAGGGAGGGAAGAAGAGGTGGGAAACTGAGGCAAACCATCCTAGAGTGCGCTGGCCTCTCCCTTCACTCAGACTGAAGAGAAAACACAGGCGCTCAACTCAAGTCAGAAGAAAAAGGACAGACTTGCTTTCTTTGTTGGGAACTAGCTGTCAGGTTACAATATGAGGTCTCCTTCCTCTTATCTGGCTGAAGTGGTTGATGTAAGATGTTTCCAGAAAGACCCAGGAACAGTGCTGTACCCCTGAGGGAGCTGACTGGAGATGAACTGTGGCCTGTGGTCATGTTCATGATCGTCTTCCTTTACTGGTGGAGTTGATGCACTGTTACAAGTTCTGGAATTCCAGCTACCACCAGGCCCTGTGCCACAACTGCGCATAAACTTGCAGAACACTTGGTATAGCTTGTATATGGAGAGAAAGGTGGTTCCTAAGGGCAAAAGAGATCACAGCACCTCTAGCAGCACATAGTGATGCTGAAGGCACTGGATTGACAGGGAGCTAAGCCCCCACATCGACTACTCAGCAGCTTCCTGGTGCCAGGCTCTGTGGGGTCTGAGGATACTTTGGACTTCCTTAATGCAAGATGTGACGGAAAGGCCAGGAAGTGGGCAAGGCATAAAAGCTGATTTGTCATCTGGAAGCACATTACAGAAGTCATGAATACTCAAGTCACCTCTCTGATCCCACTAAAGGAAGAGGTCTTGAGGGTCCAGAAGAGGAATCAGGGTCTAGTGGAGCATTTTAGTCAAGAAAGCACATGAGATGTGCTGTGTGATCTTGATGACATTGCCTGGCTCAAGGAACCTAGCTTTATTTGTATATGGTAGCATGCTAAGAGGCCCAATGGTAATTCTTAGGCTCTGACAAGGTCAAGGTCACAGCTCAGTTGATATATCCTTTCGATAGGCACTCTTTGTTGAACTCACAAGATGTGGCATGCCCAGAAACAAGATAACAGATAGATCAGAGGTACATAGGAGGAACTGGGTACAATAAGTACCAAAACTCTCAAGACATGAAGGTTTGTGTGCCGAGTCTGGTTCTTGCATTCTCGCAGACCTCTGCTTGGAGGTATTCTGACCCTTATTTTCAGTTCCCAAAATACTACAGAGATGTGTCCCACTTACAGATAGAGTGAAGACTGAGGCTGTGATCAACAAAGAGGAGCCGATGCAGGAGACAGTGGTGCAAACCTTCTTCCAGTGTCCATCTTGGACCAACCATGCTTCATGCCCAGTTCTAAAGTCAAAGATTGTGTTGGCAGAGTCAGTTGGATGTGGGCATTGGGCTTAGTGAGCAACAGTGGTGGTGTGTGATCAGCCAATGAAAGGGAAACCATTGAATTTCAAGGTGGACTACGAGGGACATGTGCTAGAGGGTGGTGGCACATTTTGGAGGACCTATGGGTGGAACTGGACCCTGATGAGAGGAGGAATGTGGGCAACAGAGGACAGCATAGCCAGGTCTCCTTGGTTACACTCACACGGTGTATGTTCAGGTGTTGTCTTCTCACCTTACGGGTCTGAATGGTGAGAGCTGTGGTGATTTTGTCAACTCCTGCCTGGCCAAGAAGTCAATGGAGCAGTGGGTGACTGAGGAGTCCACTGTCTTCCTACCTTTGTTCCTCTGTCACCAACCTGGTTGATAGGTGGTGTATAAAGGAGTCAGGTGTATTTAGAATTTTCTTTGGATGGTCAACAAACTCCCAAATAAAGACATGGGGACTTATTATTAATTACAAATGCTTGACCTTAGGTTAGGCTTATCTCACTGGCTCTTTTAACTTGATTTAACTTGTTTTTATCCATCCACATTTTGCATTGGGGCTTTTTAACTTTCATTCTGTATGTCCTACATTCCTACTTCCTCTGTGTCTGGTTGCCTGACCTCTGTTGTCTCTCTGATATCTCATTTTCTTTCTTCCTTAAGCCTATATTCCTTCTCCTGCCTATTCTCCCTGCCACAAAGTCCCACCTAAACATCTTCACTCACTATTTGCCATTCAGACCTTTATTAGACTAATCAGGTGCCTTAGGCAGGCAAGGTAAAAGCAGCAACATGTCTTATGCTGCAGCATAAACAAATACAACGTATCTTTACATAGTTAAACAAATGCAACACATCTTTGCATAGTTAAAAAAATATTCTGCAAGATTGCCTCACTTTTGTCTAAATAAAAAGATTTTCATTTTAATATAATAAGACTATATATAATAAGAACAATTATTAAGTAAGAATTTACAATAGTCAGTCCGTTTGCATTTGGCAAATTCAAAGAAAATACTTCATTATCCTGTCCTATCTTGGTGAGTACAAGGTTGTGTACCTAATTTTCTTTCTATACTAACTTGTATTACTAATCCCAAATTATCTTTTTCAGACCTCAAAACATTTTTCAGAGAACAATTTAAGCTTTTATGTTTCTCAACCTTATAAACTTTACATCTTTTGTGTAAGTTTCTGAATTTGGTAACAAAGAAAACTATAACTAAACTATCTTATCTTCAACTCCATCAGAGACCTGAGAAGGAAATAATATTAATTGAGAAAGAAGGAAGTGTAGGCAAGCAACTTCCAAAAATGTGAGAAATGACAGAAATAGTTGGCTGCCTGGACAGTCATCAAAGTTTCCTCAGTACCATTGGGGCATCTGTCTTTGAACACAAGCCTAGAATATCTGACAGACTTTTATGTAAAACAGAATTTTTGAAGGACTGTCTCACCTTATCTTGACAGTGTTTGTAGTCCTATTTCTTTGTGTCTTGCTTGTCCAGTTTATACAGTATATTGTCATCAGTCGAGGCAAGGGCAGTTTCTTGCCCAAACATCTAGCTTTGCCACCATAAAAGCAAACAACATATGGAGGTTCTTTGATGCCCATTATCCTTTGATGAAGTAGATTGGTGCTGCCAGGAGCAGACATGTCTCACTGTCATGAAAAGTCTGATGTTGTTAAACATCTTAAATATTATATTCTATAGGTTACTGAAGGGTTTAAAGATTACCTATCTAATATATATTTATTTAAGCTTGGAAATATACCTAACATGACTACAAGTTTGA